GTGGTATTTTTGCAACTCAACAACCTAATGTGGTATTTATGCAAAGTGGCACACCAAAAGTGGTATTTTTGCAATTGCCCTTTGAAAAAATGTCAATTTTTCAAAATTATTTATTCATTATATTATTTATGTTTGGGTTAACAATATTGTATAAGAGTTTAGTTTTAATGGTTTAGAGTTTGTTAGAGGTCAAAATATTTTTTAGTATTTAGAATTTTAAGATGGAAAATTAGTCTCTATATTACATAATAAGGTTCTAATTCATAATCTATCATATAATAAATCAAAATTAAGTGACTAACAAATTTAGAAGATGATTTTCTGTTTTTATCCTTAATGAAAATCAATAGAAAGAAAATCCTAATCTTTTTTTTTTCTCTTCCTTCTTTTCTCCTTCCATCGCCATTTTTTTCTTCTTCCATTGTCTTTTCCTCATTTTTCTTTAAGATAGTGTTTCTTCTCACCCGATTAACTCTCCACTACCGTCTCTTCTCAAAGTTAAGCTAAGCCGTCAAAGATCGATATAGTTAACTATGTTTGAAAACCAGTATTGTAGGTAACTGTATTTCTGATTATAGTTAACTATGTATGTTATTCTTTTTCATTATACAAACTATAATAAGTGACTATGTTTCTGATAATAGTTAACTATGTTTGTTAGTCGTTTTCATTATTCAAACTATAATAGATAAGAGAAATTTCAAAAAATACCACTTTTCAAGTGCCACTTTACAAAAATGCCACACTTTTAAAATCTTTACAAAAATGCCACTTTTTCAAAATTATTGTTTCTTTATATTATTTATGTTTGGGTTAATTATGTTCTATTAGGGTTTAGTTATGAGGGTTTAGGGTTCAAAACATTTTTTTAATGTTTAGAATTTTAAGATATAAAGTTTAAAAATCTATAATTAGTGGCATATTTGCAAATGAACACCCCTAAGTGGCATTTTTGCAAATGTGCACATAAAAGGTGGCATTTTTACAATTTCCCCAATAGATAACTACATTTCAAACATAGTTTGTTTGTTTAAATAAATAACTATTACAACATCATTTTCAGTAGTCAACTATGTTATATCATCGGTAGAATAAACAACTATGTTCAGAAAAAAATAGTCAACTATGCTCTTAAATTCGTAGCTATTTTCTGAAAAAAATAGTTAACTATGCTTTAGATAGTTACAAAACAGTGTGAGATAGCTAACTATCTTGTAAGATCAATGTAAGATGTAGTTTCAAAAATAGTTAACTATCTTGTTCTAACCAAATTTTATTTTGTTTGTGGATATAATTTTTCAAAGATAAAAACACAACTATGAGGGAATTTTGAGATGAGAGGATT